TATATATATATATATATATATATATATATATATATATATATATATGTTGTAATATTTCACTATAAAATATTTTTACAAATTGTATTTAAGAAAAATAAATAATAAATAATACTATTTATTTATTTATTTATTTATCACTTCTGATTTAAAATGTGATTTGAAACAAAAATCCCAAGTTTGTTTTGCTTGTATGTAGGGCTACAATATTTGGCCAAAATGTTGTGATTATTTAGCCATAAGACTGTAAAATAATAATTATTATTATTTATTATTATTATTATTATTGATATGAAACTGGCTAAATAAAATCAAAATAAGAAATATTAATATTGTAATATTTCACTGTAAAATAGAAAAAAGTTTAGTATTTAAGAAAAATTATATAATAATAATAATAATGTTGAATTTGTTGTTGTTGTTATTATATTTATTTTAAAATTTGTTATTGTGATTTAAAATATGTAAAAAAAAAATTTTTAAAGTTTGCATGTTACATAATTTGGCAAAAATGTACCGATTATTTAACCATATGACTATTAAATAATAATAATAATAATAATAATTATTATTATTATTGCTACTAAATTAAAGTATAAAATTATTATTACTGTTATTGCTGCTAAATAAAAAAAATGTAAATAATAAAAACGAAATAAAAAATACTACTATTTTAATATTTCACTGTAAAATTAGAAACACAATCAAGTACTTAAGAAAAATAAAACAATAATAATAATAGTATTATTTTTTAATATTGTTACTTATATAATAATAATAATAATGTTGAATTTGTTGTTGTTGTTATTATATTTATTTTAAAATTTGTTATTGTGATTTAAAATATGTAAAAAAAAAATTTTTAAAGTTTGCATGTTACATAATTTGGCAAAAATGTACCGATTATTTAACCATATGACTATTAAATAATAATAATAATAATAATAATTATTATTATTATTGCTACTAAATTAAAGTATAAAATTATTATTACTGTTATTGCTGCTAAATAAAAAAAATGTAAATAATAAAAACGAAATAAAAAATACTACTATTTTAATATTTCACTGTAAAATTAGAAACACAATCAAGTACTTAAGAAAAATAAAACAATAATAATAATAGTATTATTTTTTAATATTGTTACTTATTTTAGCCATGCTGTGATTTAGATTTTATTTGGATTGCTCATGCAGCCCTCGTCGGGTTAGTGCAGATATAAACCGCAGGGTTGCTGTGTGTGTGCAGGTGTTGGAGAGTTTTAAGATCATGGACTACAGTCTGCTGCTGGGGGTTCATAATCTGGATCAGGCGGAGCGCGAGCAGCAGATGGAGGGATCTCAGAGCAGCAGCGATGAGAAGAGACCGGCCGCGCAGCGAGCGCTTTACTCCACCGCCATGGAGTCCATTCAGGGAGGAGCGGCGTGCGGAGGCTCCATAGACACCGAAGACACGTGTGTGTCTCTGATTTAACATCACGAGTTTGATTCGATGCCGCAGCACTCGCTGATTCTCTGCTCTCTCTGCTCTCTCTGCAGGATGGGAGGCATTCCTGCTGTCAGCGGCAAAGGAGAGAGACTCCTGCTCTTCATCGGCATCATAGACATCCTGCAGTCCTACAGGTCACACACTTATGATTATCAAATCTGAAGTTATTTATTAGGATTAACCCCTTGAGATTTAACATCTCGTTTTTCGAGCGGGTTCCAAAATACAACGTGTCACATTCACAACATCACTCAAATCAGTTCATTCATAAAGCACATTTCAGATCCGCTCTCTTCTCTAAATCCCTCCACCCAAAAAATACTTATTTATTTGTTTGTTTATTTTCAGGAGTGATTTAAGTGATTGTCTTATGAATATCAAACCTGCTTAAGACCTGCTTACATTTCAAGTAAAATTTAAATTTTAGGTATATTAATCTTATATATTGTATCATATTTAGGAGCTTGATGTAAGAATTAGATTTAACAGTTATATATATATATATATATATATATATATATATATATATATATATATATATATATATTGATATCTAAAAAATATTATTTAATTATTTAATTATATTATAACAGTTGTTTGTTTAGGTGCTCTATATTGTTGTTAAAATAATTATTAAATATAAATGTATAAAATAACTGCCTACCTTTTAAGACTCTGAATTATTTACTTTATTCATTTTTATTTGATTTATGTATTTATTCATTGGTAAAGTTGTGTTTTCAGGAGTGATTTAAGTGATTGTCTTATGAATATCAAACCTGCTTAAGACCTGCTTACATTTCAAGTAAAATTTTAATTTTAGGTATATTAATCTTATATATTGTATCATATTTAGGAGCTTGATGTAAGAATTAGATTTAACAGTTTTATATATATATATATATTGATATCTAAAAAATATTATTTAAAATAATTATTATATTATAACAGTTGTTTGTTTAGGTGCTCTATATTGTTGTTAAAATAATTATTAAATATAAATGTATAAAATAACTGCCTACCTTTTAAGACTCTGAATTATTTACTTTATTCATTTTTATTTGATTTATGTATTTATTCATTGGTAAAGTTGTGATATTTTGAAATGTGTTTTATATTACAAACGGCGCTTGTGCCTTGAAGTTGTTATTAAAAATTATTTAATTTAATTTTAAATAATTATTGAGCTGTACATTCATAAACTGTCAAGCTTTTAAGACTCTTAATTAGGTCAATCTGACCATTTATTTATATATTGGTTAAGTGGCAAAAATGTGACAAAGAATTTGTTTTTAAGCTAAATTGGCATTTTTATAATTGTTTTCTATTACATATTCACATTTCTATTGCATATAAGACTCTGAATTAAGGAAATAATTTATGTATGTATGTATTTGTTTATTTATTTTGTTTAATTTAATTTTATTTAGTTCTAAATTAAACAGATAAAAAAAGAAATATTGCTATTGTAATATGTCACTGCAAAATAGAAACATTTGAGTATTTAAAAAAATAAAACATGTTTTTTTATTACCGGTATTATTATTATTTTTTTTTAATTTATTCATTTAATAGCGATTGTGAATTGTATTTTATTTTATTTTATTTTCTGCTGCTCGCTCGTTCTCCATTAGTGTGTGTTTGTGCTCTTTTGCTGAGCCTCGTTAGTGAATCTCATACAGAGCGGCTGTGATGAGCCGCATGGCTTTATAATCTTCACTAGCATTTGGGGTTGTTTTATGCTCTTATGTAACATTTTTTAGAAGACTGCATTAAGTCAGAAAAAGAAATCCAAAGCTCTCCATCAGGACACTCAGTGCTTCTGTGAGTCTGTGAAGTGAAGCTGATGTTGGTGTTTTTCTGCAGACTCATAAAGAAGCTGGAACACACATGGAAGGCTCTGGTGCATGACGGGGTGAGAAACTCATGCATCTTCATCTTCACCATCATAATGCGTCATAATCCTCCTGCCTGCCATCTCAGCTTTAATACACATCACTTCTGATACTGTACAGCTACAGTATAAATAGACCCTCGGTCCCCAGTAAAAATACTTCATTTTAATTCCATATGAATCTCAAACCTGCTTAAGAGTTAGATTTAACATTTAAATTTAATTTTACATTTTGGTGCGTATTTATCTTATACCTTAAAAGGTTATATTATATCATATTTAAGAGCTATATGTAATGTGTGTGTGAGTGTGTGTGTGTGTGTGTGTGTGCGAGTGTGTGTGTGTGTGTGTGTGTGTGAGAGAGAGAGAGTGTGTGTGTGTGTGTGTGTGAGAGTGAGTGTGTGTGTGTGTGTGTGTGTGCGAGTGTGTGTGTGTGTGTGTGTGTGTGAGAGAGAGAGAGTGTGTGTGTGTGTGTGTGTGAGAGTGAGTGTGTGTGTGTGTGTGTGTGTGCGAGTGTGTGTGTGTGTGTGTGTGTGTGAGAGAGAGAGAGTGTGTGTGTGTGTGTGTGTGAGAGTGAGTGTGTGTGTGTGTGTGTGTGTGCGAGTGTGTGTGTGTGTGTGTGTGTGTGAGAGAGAGAGAGTGTGTGTGTGTGTGTGTGTGAGAGTGAGTGTGTGTGTGTGTGTGTGTGTGCGAGTGTGTGTGTGTGTGTGTGTGTGTGAGAGAGAGTGTGTGTGTGTGTGTGTGTGTGTGTGTGTGTGTAGTGGAGATTGACTGAGACAGTGGACAGACGTTGATAAGGATCGCTTGTGTTTGGTTTCTCTGTAGATAGTGTGAGTGTAAGTCTGAGAGAACGTCTCTTTCCATTCACTCTCCAACTTCTGTTTCTTTCCACTTCATTTCCAGTCGGTCATTTTCTCCCGAAATACTTACACTCACATACTGTTTCCTGTAAGACACGCTGGATTCTTCCTGTGTGTTTGACGGATTAGAAGGATCAGGATTTTATGTTTATTTGGCACATTTGTACATTTGAATGTATATTTGTGTAAATCAAATTGGCTACTGCAATTTCTATAAAGGTGAATTTCATAGAAACACGTCCCAATCATATTTCACCTTAAAATAAAAACATAATTATACAAACAGAAAATAAAGTCTTTTTTTAGACAGCATTTTCATGATTATTAAGGATAATTAGAATAATTAATTTTCTCCTAAATTCCAATTATCATACTGGGAAAAAAAAAAATCTCGCATATGGATGTTTTACTTATCATTCTCATTATTCTCAGTGACGATTCTTAATAGATTCTCATTATTGCAATACAGAATTTGTACGGTACTGGTAAAAAATGTATAATGTGCTTAATTGTCATGAAAACATATCAGAAGTCAAAAAATCTAAACTTTTACTTCATTTTATTTAAGCAAAATATGCTAAATATAATAATGTGTCTCTGCAGCGGCGATTTGAATGATAATTTGCTCCTCAGTAATGACATTGAGAATCTTTAATAGACATTGAACTAAATATAAATAGTTAAAAGAAGAGATTTGTTATTATTTAGATGCATTTTGCCTGATCAGGATAATAATATCTCTCCTCTGTGTCTGTTCTGTCTCTCAGGACACTGTTTCTGTCCACCGGCCGAACTTCTACGCTGACCGCTTCTTCAGGTTCATGAGCAGTACTGTGTTCAGGAAAAGCAGCTGTGAGTGACCAACAGAACTACTGTAGTGATGAAAAGGAGACAGAAAAAAAAAATCTCGCATATGGATGTTTTACTTATCATTCTCATTATTCTCAGTGACGATTCTTAATAGATTCTCATTATTGCAATACAGAATTTGTACGGTACTGGTAAAAAATGTATAATGTGCTTAATTGTCATGAAAACATATCAGAAGTAAAAAAATCTAAACTTTTACTTCATTTTATTTAAGCAAAATATGCTAAATATAATAATGTGTCTCTGCAGCGGCGATTTGAATGATAATTTGCTCCTCAGTAATGACATTGAGAATCTTTAATAGACATTGAACTAAATATAAATAGTTAAAAGAAGAGATTTGTTATTATTTAGATGCATTTTGCCTGATCAGGATAATAATATCTCTCCTCTGTGTCTGTTCTGTCTCTCAGGACACTGTTTCTGTCCACCGGCCGAACTTCTACGCTGACCGCTTCTTCAGGTTCATGAGCAGTACTGTGTTCAGGAAAAGCAGCTGTGAGTGACCAACAGAACTACTGTAGTGATGAAAAGGAGACACTTCCTCTAACCTGTCAGTCTGATTCTGTTCCTCTGCTCTCTCCAGCGCTGAAGGCTTCTCCGGCTAAGAAGGGCCGCGTGGCGCTGACCGTGTCCAAATTCAGCGGCCCCGGAGCGGCCTGCTCGGCCAGTCAGCTTACCTCAGAGAGAGACCAGAACATCTATGATCTGAGAGGAGCGCGCAGCTTCCCCGTGCTGGAAAACCATGGTGATTTGCTTACTTTCTTCTTTCTTTTTTATGTGCATGCTTTTGATCAGCATGGAAGCCCGTTTCCGCCACTGAATAAAAAATTAAAAAAGGTTATTGCAAAATTGCTTTTTATGTCACAAATCGGACTTTTTTTCACAGAATTGTGAGATATAAACTCAAAATACTGTTGTTGTTTTTCTCACAAATGCGAGTTTATATCTCGCATTTCTGACTTTTCTCCTCTCAATTCTGACTTTTTTCTCAGAATTGTGAGATATTGCGATTGCAGGTTATAAAGTCCAATTTTGAGGAGGAAAAAAAGACTATGCTCTCAGAATTGCTTGATAGCACACAATTCTGACTTTATTTCTCAGAATTGCGAGTTTATATCTCACAGTTCTGAGAAAAAAGTCAGAATTGCAAGATGTAAACTCATATTCTCGTCGCAATTACCTTTTTTCTTTTTTTATTCAGTGGCGGAAACAGACTTCCATAGAGTTTAAATCTCACAATTCTAACTTTTTTCTCTGAATTTAGAGTTTATATCTTTAAATCAATTCTGAGTGCAATGAAATTAACGGCAAGCAATTAATAATATATATATATATATATATATATATAATGATGGTAACATAATGCCTCAAACGCAAATTCAGACTATTGCTGTTGTTTTTGTTGTTGTCTGATCATTTATAGCCATGAAAAGCTTTTGGCCATGTTTAGAACAGCATTAGAGTAGAATGAATCCCATAATGCAATGCACTTGAATGTGATTTCTTATTTGATCCGACTGCCTGAAGTTAAAAAAAGAGTTGCTTTCAAATTTCAAAATAATCATATTTATTCTTCGACTTGATAACAGGACACGACTTAATGCTGAATTAATGCAACATAGTAAGGTCATTTGACAGCAATGTAGCATTCTTAAAAATCCTTTTCAAAGTTTTGGAAATTTTAATACATAATATCACATACAATAAAAAAAAGTTACATTCTGCAATGTATTCTGCACGGTCAGCAGCCCAGCTGCACATTCTCAGAACGTCCTGCTAAACGTTTCTCAAAGTTGTTCTTCCAGTAACATTAATAGAATGTTTATTCAATTTTGTCTGGTCTCTAATAATGTTCTCAAAATGTTATATATGCATTATTCATTGAACTTTTTTTCCTGAAATGTTACTTTTTACTTTTTTAAATGTTACTACTAGTTTCGGAATGTTCATTTAAAAGTACATTTAACGTTGAAAAAGTAACATTCAAACATTTAAACGTAACATTCCAATATAAGTGATAAAACGGAATGTTGACTTAAAGGGACAGTTCACCCAAAAACGAAAATTCTGTCATCATTTACTCATCCTCCGTCCTCTTTCTTCTGTTGAGCACAAAAGACCAAACAGTTTTTTGCTTATTTACTCTCTCAGGTCTGCAGTCTTGCACTCCTCCGTCGTTCGAGGAAGCGACCACGACGTCTGTGGCCACAACTCTGTCCTCAAACACCTCCATATCTATCCCAGAGCGCTCTCCGTCAGACACCACAGAGCAGCCGCGCTACAGGTCAACATCGGAAGAGTCTTGAAACAACAGTATCACTTCACTTAAAGCCTTTATGTAGAATGCATTCATAATGTACATTATAATGCATCTTTATTATATCATATATTATATCAGTATTATATTACATTATTATTATACCATAATAATTGTAACCAAAGTTAAAACATATTGTAATATTTGCAGACACCTTGTTACATCTGAAATTGGTTGTTTGTTTGCATTAGACTTTCTCAAGGCGTAGAAATGAATAGATAATTATTATACTGTATTATAATTGTGGTTATAATTATTCATGAGATCATGCAATGCATTATGAGGTGCATTACAGAGCATAATTAATGCATTAAGATACTTTTATAATGCTCTGACCACATGCATACGAATATCTGTGAATATACTTGTGTTCTCCATTGTTTTCACAGAAGACACACATTGCCTCTGAAAGACGCTGAGGGAAGGTGAGCTTCATTTGCATGACTGTATTTATATTTACAAACATATTAAACTGTGGCTTTGCATGCTCACGTCAGCTAGATTATCGAATTTCTTCGTATTTTTGCCTCGTTTTCCAGTACAAGTATGTAAATATTCTTAAATCAAGAATTGTTCAGTCTTGTTTTCTGAAAAATTCATTTCAGAGTTTATGCTGACAACAAGAAAAAAAAATATCTGTCAATGGGATCTGAAAAATAACCTCGTTTTAAGCATAAACTCACTTCATTTTGATACATTAATTTTGAAACATGACTTCATGTCTTATGTTGCTTCTCAAGTAAATGTGTTTTGATTTAAGAATGTTTAGAGATATTTGTAGTGGAAAACAAGACAAAAATACAGAGTAAGAAAATCCTTTTTTGCAGTGCACAAAGCCGTGAGAGAAAACCCGTGTTTAATGAGTTTAGTGCGTTTTTCCAGTTGAATGTGCTTGTTTTGCAGGATGCATGAAGTGGTGCACGTGCATGAGGAAGAGCAGCAGACCATCACTGTGCAGGTGGAGGTGAAAAGAGAGAGAGAAGAGGAGGAGGAGGAGCCAGACGTCTCTCTGACGCAGTACGTGCTGCAAACATTACCTCGATTTTTCACTACCATAAACATGCATATGAATCTCATACCAGCAGCACTCGGTCTCTGATATTTTCATCCTATTTTCAGTTATTTGATTGAGAGAAACAAGGTAATGGTTTTGATTCTGCATGAACTGAATATATATATATA